TTTATCACATGAAAAAATTGCGGTAGTCACCTCGGCTATCCTGACATAAGATTTTCGTGACATTCCTCCATCTCTCCAGGAAAATGTCGAGATAACAGCCCAAACTAGGTCACAGCACGTTCAGTCCATATTATTTCCAATTCATTATTCACAAATCGTTCTACACTGGACACTGTATAAACTGAGCTACTGATAGTGATGTTAAGAAAACCTTCAACAAAACGAATATATATATATGTAAATTCAATTGGAATATCAGCACCTCCATACCTATTCTGTTCCACGGAATTAAAGAAGCTTTTTTCTTTAATTCAATAAAGATTTATGTGATGATATATATAGAATTAAATTTTAACCTGACAATGATAACTGCCATTGTGGTACACATCCATGAGTAACGAATGTACTGGACATCTGATATTCGTAACTACAAATAACTGCAACACTTTTACTATTCCATGCGGTCTAGAAATAACTACAGCCTTAAATATCTCTTATATTATCACCTCACTATGTGTTGTAATGGCTTGCGGAAATGATGATTCGGCTTGTTTCTTCAGTCCTCTCTGTGCTGGGTAACCGTTGGCTTTTGTGAACACAACTGTCACACTGGACATTATCAACTGTCAGTCTGAGAAACTGCAGAAGAGTTCAGAATACCTACTGGTTCGTGGCACAAAATTTTAGTGGAAAAATTAGGAATGTATTGGTTCCCAGCAATATTTGTGCCAAGACTCATGACTGATCAGCAATTTCAACAATTTTCCCTCTGCAAAAATCCCCAAGAGCAAATGACAATAAAAATCTATTGAAAATTGTTACCACTGGTGACGAGGTGTAGGTTTACGGTTATAACATTGAAACCAAACAACAGTCTTCACACAGGAAGAGCCCAGCTTCATGTTGCCCCCAACATGCTCACATGAGCACCTGCATGACAGGTGCTCATGTGAGTGAAAGTAGTGCTGCTTGTTTTTCAATTATCAAGGCATCATGCATTGTGAATTCACTTCTGAAGAGCTAGCAGTTCTGAGAAGTGTGCCTGATGTAGTATGAAGAAACTGACCTGAACTGTGGACTGTGGGAGGCTGGCTCCTCCATCACATTTAGGTTGAAATGCGTCATACCCGTGAACAAAGTGTTATGCAGTTACATCATCATCTTAAATAATGATGTTTATTCAACACGACAGATTGTTGATTAATGGAACTAATTGTTGGTTACAACCTACAATTATAATACCACCTTTCCGTTTCGCTACATATTAGCTGCCAGCTTCTTTTTCACTTTCATATTGCACATTCATGCAGTTACTTGCACAAAGAACAAGAATGCAATTGCAACTGCTCGCTCATGAACTCTCACGAAGTTCATGAAAATGTCGCACAATCGCCTTCGAAAAATTAGGGTCGACGCTCAATTGACTTATATAAGGGATGGGCCTTCTCAGCCCTTGCACCGCGACCTTCAGTGGTATATTGTGCTTCTCAATAAACTTAACAGTGTGGCTATAACAAACTACGATGTTTATAAGAATGTGCTATAAAGTACGGGATTGATATTAACTTGGCTTTTTTGTATTTACAATTATTTTTCACAATAAAAAATGGAGGTCGATGATCCTGAGAGAAAAAAATGAATAACCAATGGTCAGCGAATATTACATAAAGGTGTTACCTTTGCCAATCTATGTCATCTGTATCACTTGGAGCACATTCAAAATGATACAATATCGATCGCATGGTCATCTTCCGTTCCCTATTTCACCTACTTCACAATTTCATATTGTAAAATGCACTCTGCAGCTGACCAATGAGATTATTCGAAGTGCAGGAAGTAGCATAACGTGAAAATTTCCACATTGGATGGTGAAGTGTTCTGTTTAGTGAGTTTGTAAACATTATTTCTGTTAAATATTTTGCAGTTGCTGTCAATAGAAGTGTTTCAGAATTCTGAAATAAACCTGTTCATATTAATTTTAGTAGGAAAAACGATTATATATACACTTGACTTAGTTATATCATCATTGGAATGGTACTCATGGTTTTGTAATCACCGTGGCGTTACCATTTCAAACCGGTCAGTACCTTAAGGTGAAGAGACGGGACAATGTCAGTGCCAACCGACTTAAGTTTGATGGATTTTCTCCGTGGAAGAGAAGATCCTTTTTCAACCTGACAGATCAAGATTTAAGCAATAAAAGTGAACAGGAATACGTTTAAGGGATGGCTCTAAATTATAGTTCCTTCAGAGAAATACAATTTCGTTTGTCAGTGCTGTGAAACAGAATTAAACCACTTATTATTTGTTTTGTTGGTAGAAAGCTGGTCACCAATTCCAGACGACATAATGGAGTTTATTCTAAACTTCAAGGACCAACAGTTTGAAATACTGGATGATGGTGAGCTTCTGTCTGCTGCAAGTGCAGTGGAAACAGGAGATGTAACTGCACCAGTCAGTATTTGTCACCCATGTTGCCTGGCATTGAAGAGGATGATAGGGGAGATCGCCTGTCTTCTTTGTCTAGTGTGAGTGAAAGTAATCCAGTGGAAGCTTCACATGTATGCGGTGACCAGGAGAGCTTTGTACAAGAAGATATTGAAGTTTCATCATCTTGGTCTCCCATCCTGATTACGTGAGAAAGTGCTACAGCCTGTAAGACATGCATAAACTTACAGAAATCATGAATTAAAATTAAAATTGCAACTGTAAGAAAATATAGTTCTTCAGTATACTTCAAATACACCTGACCATGAATATTTTTTTTTGGCACCGTGCGACAGGAAAGTGAACTCACTCACTCAGTGAGTGCGCCCTTCTGGAGAAGCCGCCAATTGTGCAGCCACACAAGAACTTCCCAGCATTTCATGGAACTCAAACATCATTACACGTGTTCACAAGAGCCCTCCACTGGTCCCTACCCTCAGCCAGATCAATTCAATCCATACCATCCCACCATATCTCTCTAAAGTCCGTTTTAATACTTCCACCCACCTACCTCTTGGTCTTCCCAGTAGTCTCCTTCCTTCTGGCTTTCCCACAAATATCCTATTTGGATTCCTCCTCGACCCCATTCGTGCAACATGCCCTGCCCATCTCATCCTCCTTGACTTGATCATACTAATTATACTTGGAGAACACAGTACAAGTTATGAAGCCAGAAAAGTAAACTAGTTAAAAAAAAGTTTATACTGCTGATATTCAACACAATTTCCATACAAAAGTTTCCACCTGTCTCGCTGTACATGAAGAACATTACAAATATGTGACATTTTTCACAGCAATGAGCACAAAACTACAGTCTTCTGGGACGTAATTCCGTACAGCCTCACAGATAATTACCCTGAATATGGAGGCAGCAGATTCCTCCAAAGTGGTAACTGTCTACTGGTCTACAGGGCATCATATCCCATAAGATAGTAAGTAATGTGAGTATATAACTTCTTTTATTTTCATTGATATATCAAATATAAAATATTCTGCAAAACAGAAATTGTTTGAAAGCTAATAAATACACAGAATTTATGTCCAGAAATAAAGCTGAGAGCCATCAGCTACTTAAAATTAACTTGCCTGTGGAAGGAGGGTAAGCACATTTCTAAAACCCTTATGATGCCATGAAAACATCTGGTGTCATGAAGTGTACAACTGCTTTACCTACTAACAAATGTGTAAAACTTCTGAAATAACTGCATAACTCTAGTCAGTTTAATGCAGCAATTAAAAGTCCTCTATTACAAAACATGTCATAACCATAATGCAAACAGACCTTCCTTATTCTCATGACCTTCCATTATGGCATACTGTGGAACCTTCATTTAATATTCCATGATTTAAAATTTTCTCATGTACGAGTACCAATCATTTTTGATGATCCATAGGCACTAATCTCAGTGTGAAATCATTTCACATAAGATACTCCTCAGTTTCAAGTTCAGATTCACTGAGTAGCACCTCAAAAAAAAAACCTTTTATGGGAGTTTCACTGCACTAAAAAGCAAATGGGCTATATAATCTGCTTGTTTTGGCACAATGGAGAAGAAACAGTTAAATGTTTACCTATACAAAGTCTACCAGCCACCTATGTGCTGTACAGTCATGCCTTAAAAGATGTAAATATTTAGCCATGTTGCATCATTCATCTGTTGTGCAACACTGTTATAGCAGCAACTGGAATGCAACTTTATATTGTCTGTGTCACTTTTATTACTACTTAACTGCTTATTCAACAGGTCCCTGTTCTTCTGTTTTTGTAGCTTGTATCTGATATCTAAGCTGCTGGTTTCAGGGTTTAGCCATGTTTGTTGAACATGTCCCAATGTATACTGCAGTCACCATCTTCAGGGTAAACAGGACAGGAGGACAAAGTGGACCAATATCTAGGTCTCTCAGAGGAGGTAGTGCTGTGGCATGGTGTTATCCAATGAGAAGGGGCTATGTGGTTATGAAGGAGGGCTGCAGCAGAACAGGTGCAACCGAACTGTTCAGGTGGCATCATTTGATATATATATGAAGTTACAAGGTCACTTCACATTTTGAGAGACTCCCTGATGATGCCAGGACTTCAATTCTGTATAATTCTATGCTGAGTTTACTAACGCTTAACAAGAGCCAAACAACCCACCGAGACTAAGGAATGCACAGAACAGAAACTGAACTTCTGCACTCACATTTACCATCCCTACATAATCATGGAGGGGCATGCAGTAGTGTAGCTGGTTGAGGAACTATGCTACAAGCCGGAAGGTCATGGGTTCAAGTCCCGATGAGGTCAATGGAATTTTTTTTTCAATTGACCTAATCCTTCCAGCCGGACTATGGACCTGGGGTCAACTCAGCCTCTAACATAAATGAGTACCAGGAATTAGTCAAATAATTTTCCTGGGTAGTAAAGCGTGGCTGGCACATAAGGCTGACAACCTTACTGCCATCTTTGAGCGGATTGTCTTGATAATGTGGGACCCTCAACGTCTCACAGCCTTATGAGCCTTCATGGCCTGTTACATGGATAACTTTACTTTTCTTACTTTTACACAATCAGGGAACCCATCAAAACTGACATCGCCACAACTTCAACCAAGATGGATACACCAACGCAGTCTGGCTGCAAGTGTTCTCCAACTCTTCTTGCCCACAAGGTTCATTCCCATTGGAAAACACCATGGCCACCATTACTTCTACTGTAAGCCCTACATACCAACCCACTTCCTCATTCATCCTGAAGACAGTAACCACAACGAACATCAAAACTATATACAGTCATGAGCTCAGTACAAACTGGACACAACAAGCTGATGGACAGAGCAGTAATATATAATTACCTACATTAAACCTGGGCTTACAAGATTTATAAATGTTTCAGTTGTAGTCTATCATAATTAATAACATCTCAACATCTTTATACATGTGTACTAATTTCAGCACAGTAATAACATCCTACATTTTTTTATTTCATGTATACAATCACAACTAAATCTCTCTACCCAAGGGAAATTCTCTAAAAAAATTGCTGATAAAATACATACTGAAGAACGTTTGCATCCTAGGGCTAATCCAAGGGGAAGCACAACAGATCATTGAAGGTTGCAGTATAGGGGCTGGTTTTTATGGCCCACCCCTTACTTACATACATACATGTTTGCATCCTTGGCAATATAATATGAGATTCTTACCTCTCTTCCAAGCCATCTATGTATTCCTTCTTTCTCTTGCGTGAATCCTGTGCTGATATATTATTACGGAATTTTCTTCTAATCTTTTTAAGTTCTCGCTCTTCATCTTTTGTGAGAGAATAATGAGAAGACAGTTGGACACCTTCTTTTTCAAGAAGTCTTTCTCTTCAGCTGCAAAGGAATACTTTAAGCATCAGTTACTGTACATTAAACACACAAAAATTATTTAATTTTGTTAAGTAAAATATACTATAAATATATACTATAATATAGTGCCCAGTGCTTTTCTGGAACTGCATTTGTACTTTAAACTTACAAAGTTCACACTGGGATAAAGATTACTCTTCAAGAAAGTTATTTGGAACAAACTGCTACATACTTCACATTCTAAGCCAAATAGTATGTAATAATACAAAAATTCAAAAGTTTCCAGTATGTTCATAATAAAACAGCTCAGTTACATTAACACTAAAGGTTCACTACAAATTGATGAATGAAATATTCTGATTTACATAATGGAATTTATATCATGACACCAATAAACTCTCTTTTAAGTCACTTGCAATCACAAATTCAAGAGTGATTCATATGAACTTTCAGGTCAAAAACTACTAATTGAAAGATTTGCTATGACAGGTGCAACACATAGACCATAGGAGATTGTTTCAAAATCTGCAAAAACGCATGGTTCCTTTGTAAGACCAAACGTCGTGTACTTTACATTACCATGAATCAACCTCAACTTATTCAAACCCTCTTAAACCATAATAATTATGCTGATCATTTTTACATGTTAACTGAAGTCTTGGATACTGTGGTATTGAATCATCAACCATTTCTTCTGATATACTTCCTTTAGAAGACTTGATGCTGCCAAGATCATCTTGTGAAGCAATACCTTTGTCAAGAACTGGTGTAACTTGAATTAACGGCCTCAAAGTACTACTGGTGGTTATGAGATGGCTGTTTTGGACAGCTTGTTTTATTGGAGGCAATACATCTGCAAAAGATTCATATATTACATGAACACATTATTAATAACAGTTATCACTTAATGCCTAGTCCTTTGAGAGAAATATTATAAGCATACTCATGCTAATGATGGCGTGGTTATCTTCTACTCTGACCTCCCCAAGGTTATCTGCGATCAGAATATCGAAAACTGAAGAGTCAACTTCAATATCTTCTCCTACAGAGCTCTCCTGGTCACCACATACTTTCACTCACACTAGACAAAGAAGACAGGTGATCTCCTCTATTATCCTCTTCAATGCCAGGCAACATGGGTGACAAATACTGGCTGGTGCAGTTACATCTCCTGTTTCCACTGTACTTGCAGCAGACAGAAGCTCGCCATCATCCAATATTTCAAACTGTTGGTCCTCGAATTTTAGAATAAACTCCACGAAGTCATCTGGAATTGATGCCCAGCTTTCTACCTACAAAACAAAAAATAACTGGTTTAGTTCTGTTTCACAACACTGACAAACGCAATTAAATTTCTTTAAAGGAACTGTAACTTACGGCCATCCCTTCAACGTATTTCTGTTCACTTTTATTGCTTAAATCTTGATCTGTCAGGTTGAGAAGAGGAACTTCTCTTCCACGGAGAAAATCCATCAAACTTACGTCGGTCGGCACGGTCGGCACCAACACTGTCCCATCTTTTCATCAAAAGGTACTGACCGGTTTGAAATGGCAACCCCACGGTGGTTACAAAACCATGAGTACCATTCCAATGATGATATAACTAAGTCAAGTGTATATATAATCGTTTTTCCTACTAAAATTAATATGAACAGGTTTATTTCAGAATTCTGAAACACTTTTATTGACGGCAACTGCGAAATATTTAGTAGAACTAATGTTTAGAAACACACTAAACAAAACACTTCGGCCACTTCGGCCTAACCTTGTGGAAATTTTCACGTTATACTACTTTCTGCACTTCGAATAATCTCATTGGTCAGCCGCAGAGTGCATTTTGCAATATGAAATTGTGCACTAGGTGGAATAGGGAACGGAAGATGACCATGCAATCGATATTGTATCATTTTGAATGTGCTCCAAGTGACACAGATGACATAGATTGGCAAAGGTAACGCCCTTATGTAATATTCGCTGACCATTGGTTATTCATTTTATTCTCTCAGGTTCATCGAACTCAATATTTTATTGTGAAAAATAATTGTAAATACAAAAAGGCCTAGTCAATATCAATCCCGTACTTTGTAGCACAATCTTATAAACATCTTAGTTTGTTATAGCCACACGGTTAAGTATATTGAGAAGCACAATATACCACTGAAGGTCGCGGTGCAAGGGCCGAGAAGTCACATCCCTGATACCAGTCAATTGAGCGTCAACCCTCATTTTTCGAAGGCGATTGTGCAACATTTCCATGAGAGTTCATGAGCGAGCAATTGGAATTGCTTTCCTGTTCTTGGTTCAAGTAATTGCATGAATGTGTAACATGAAAGTGAAAAAGAAGCTGGCAGCTAATATGTAGCGAAACGGAAAGGTGGTATTATAATTGTAGGTTATAACCAACAATTAGTGCCATTAATTAACAATGCGACATGTTGAATAAACGTCATTATTTAAGATGATGTTTTAACTCTACAACTTTGTTCATGGGTATGGCATATTAGAGCTCTATAATATAATACTGAACGTAATTCTTTATTGTTAAGAAAAGTGTTTATTGAAAAAATGAACGAGATAAGCACACAAAATTGCTTTTTTTAAAAGGATCAAATTATCAGGTTAACTTTCCTTTAGTGACATAATGAATTTCAGAGTTAAATACATACGTCTATATACTGAATTCTTTGATTTAAGAATTTTCCGTGAGCCCATTATAAACGTAGCTTCTATCACCTCAGAGAAATTTACCACGTTACCACATATTGTTTTGGGGGAAGGGATGGATAAATTTGTAAGTCATCCTACAACCTCCAAGTCCTGGATTATTGCGGTAGCGTATTTGGTTGAGGCACTGTGCTACAAGGCGGTAGGTCGTGAGATCGAAATCCGATGGGTTGGCTTTTTTTTTTTTTAATTTGCCTAACCTTTACAGTCACACTATGGCCCTGTGGTCGACTCAGCCTCTAACAGAAATGAATACCAGAAGCATTCTTGGAATATTTGGGATGAAAAGGGTGGCTGGCACTTAAGGCTGACAACTACCGCCATCTATGAGCTGTCTGTCTAGGAAATGTGGAAACCTAAACATCTCACACCCCAATGGGTCTCCAGGGCTTGTTACAGGGATAACTTTACTTTTTTTACTTACTTTTTAATTAAAAGAAATAATTGTTTTGCTATGAAATGTCTGTATTGCCTTAGAGCGCAGGTAACTTTTTAGCTTTCTAACTTATTTCTCATTATATAACTTCCAGTGGTTTGCCAGCACTTTGATACATCATTGAAAGATATTTTGGTTGGTCACGTAATTAATTTTGTTCCATACACTGCACTATGGATTTCATTGAGTAAAATGATGATAGGTGCTCAATATGACATTCAAGAAGTAAGGCGAGTTTGTTGGATTTTCAGTGGACAATCCTGTGGTTGTGACATCCGTCATTTGGCTCATGGTATTGTGCTGCAGGCAGAAACCCTTGGACAGTAGTCTGCACTGTTTGTGATTTGATTCAGAAACTCTTGTGCTGCTGTCTGTTGTGGATCCCTTCACCTGCTGAAATCTGGTGATGCAGGTTATGTTCCAGCAAACAGCAAACATTACTTTTTCAGTTGATGCTGCTGCTCGAGACAATTTACACATAGGTGATGAAGGATTTGCTAGCATAAATCAGGGTGGAAGTGATGCACCCATGACACATCATGAGACAGCAAACCCTGCATTTTCTTTATGTTACATGTCAACTAATGTGACATTCAGTTCATACACACACTGCTTACGGACTGAAACAGCTCTCATTTGCAATGCAATTTAAAGTTACGTGGTAATTTTTCTGAATTGGGCATTTTGCTTCCTTGATACTGTCATGTGCAATGACACTGTATATTTGTCTGGCTGTGGAGTGTCATTCAACCCATATACACAAACTTTGAGCTTGTTCATGTACAGATGAGGTCTTCTGATAAGAACTTTAATGGCTTGCATTTATGATAAATATTCACTTGTTTGCTCCCTTCATCTACTGATAGTTAATAAAACCACACATCATCATCCTAGTACATGAAGCCTTATGAACTGCCATTCTGGAACTCTGATAGTATAGTTATCTGTGCATTTTTATGCTTATGCCAGCTATGTTGCATGCATGTAGGCAGCTAAAGGTTACCGCTAAAGAAAGTGAAACAGTTTATTGTTGAAAGCATTTTACATGAATGAAACAGTTACTTCTGTTTGCATTGCCCATGTATATTTCAGATGGTAGAAAGGCAGCCACAATATTTTATTTGGGTTGATTTAAGGTGATTGGAAAGGTACTTTTCTAGAACAGAAGAGGCTACTCTGAGATTTGAGGTTGTTACTTCAGTGGCTTTAAGGATATAATACTGTGTAGCTTGATATAAGTTTACCAGTGCTTCAGATGGAAATGCTGCCCTCATCTTCAGATTTGAAGAGTAAGAAGGCAGTAGGTACCCCTGAAATATCCATTAACTTCTGCCAGACTACACGGTGTCACATATCAGAAGATAATACTCTTCAAAAGAGTCTGTTGTTTGTGTGAGGTATCATGTTGAACACACACGAGGAGTAAGGAGTGCTGGACATAAAGGCTCTTGTTTAGGTCACTGATCATACTGACTCTCCTTTCCTCCTCAGGAAGAATATTCAGAAATAAGAGTGCAGTGTCAGGTGCATTTGTAACGGTTTCATTACATACATCACAACGTGTTACAGTTTCCACTGTCAGGAGAAGTTAACTGTCATGAAGGAAATGAAGTTAAGGATATGGATGATGGTGAAGAATTTTCTTTTTGTTTACTTTCCATACAGTACGGACAATTCTTCGTAAGATGAGGCACCGACTACACAATTAATTTGCAACATCATGGGCCTCCTGTACATTCTTATATAAATGAAATATTGAACTTCCAATTGGTCCATAGAAACGTATGGAAAGTAAAAAATCAACAACCGATTCGATGTTGTATAACATTAACTTAAGTTTTATCTTGTTTTATACAATAACTTTAAGTTTTTTATATAATCTGACTTATTGTATTTTTACACAAAGTATTTTAACATTGTATCCAATCTATAGTACAGCAGTTCAATGGTGTATGTTTGTTGATATGTGTTTGCCTGATGCTGGCCGTTAGTGGCTGAGACATGTTGCGAAGCCCTGATTTTTTTCTATTTGTTGTGTTTTGATGGTCTATAAAAGAGTTGGATGGTGAAGAAGATAATGTAAGTGAGGATGAAGATAATGAGAATGATGATGTTTTTCCAGAAGAGGAGGAACAGAATGAAGGTAATGATGACAGTGGAATGGATGAAGGAAATAAGCCACTGAAGAGGAAATACGTTGAGGTGAGTTTAATTCAGCTACTAAAGTGTACTGTGTAAGATTTGAGGTTGTCCTGTCAGTGACTGGGATGTAACCATATGTAGTCTAGTGGAACTCGCTTAACCTGGAGAAGTGAATTATACATGTAGATTAATTTTTTCTAATTTATTTCTAATTTAAATTTATATGATGAAAATGAAGGTACAAAGAACAATCGAAAGAAGGTTAAGCCAGTGGAAGCTGGTCTGTATAAGCCTCCAACTGTGAAGGAGTTGAATCAGCTCACGGAGACTGAGAATCTGTTCCACTATGAACTATGTTAGTATTTCTAGACGGATGCACCCTCAGAAATTGTGATAGCATAGTGATAATTTATGCAGTCTTTCACAATGTATGAACACCATATTAAAATGTAACCTTCATTCTTCTTTATGTTCATTGTAACTGTCACAGAGGTCTGAATATTTTTGTGTTAGCGGATTTTGGTGCACCTCTTATGACATGAATTTTTTAACATTCCAGTTTTCTTGGTTTACTTGTTTCATTTCATAAAATCCTATTTCTGCTACCATGTGTTTAGTTTCATGGCCAGGGATGTAGGCATCACAGTTCACTGTTTTTAATATGGATTGTCAGATATCAGATACCTCATTACTGTCAATTTGCATGAGCAGGCAGGCAGAGTTGTTCATAAACATGTTGTAATGTTGAACATATTTTAGTACAATGGAACCTCACTTAACGAGCACCTCTCATGACGAGTAATTCGCATAACGAGCAAAACAAATTGTAAAAAAATGACTCACTTAACGAGTGACAAGAGTGGAAGTCCCGGTTTGTGCGCTTGCTACACCAGTCTGTGTTTATCACTTGTTCCGCTAGCATCTTAGTGTCGCTTGTGATCACACATTTTTCCACACCTGTTTTCAGACATATTATTTGTGATTTTTTTTTTGTGCAAAGTTTAACACTTTCGGACCGGTTGTTTAAATATTTAATCACCCTGGGGACCGGGGTTTTTAAGTCTAGCACTCTTAACTTGTGCACTGTTCACTTTAAAAATTAATATAAAATCTAATTAATTTTATGAACTAAAATTTTTGGAGAACACTTACCAGAGCTCCTAGAAGTGCTTGCGCATGTGATATCTCTGGAAACCTTCCCCTTTGTGAAGAGGCATCATGCAGAATTTGCAGATATACGCAGTCCTACTGTTCTTCTTGTGGACTGCGCACACACGGCACTGCCTAGAAGGGTGCTTCTTCTTGCAATGTTCACTCTTCACAATTCTCACGAGGGTATGTTTCCGCATATCACCCGAGAGTCGTCCAGGGGTGTCCACATGAGGCTTGCGGCAGGTGCGAACAGATGGCCCCAGCTGCACTACGTCTGTGTCTGACACAGGTACTGCCACCACCGTGAGGTCAGTAGCCCAAGCTTTTGCCAAGTTCAACAGAAATGCTTTGTATTTCAAAGTAGAATTTCTGTTCACCTTTTTGAAAACCGAAAATGAATTGAAAATTGCACGGTTTATAAGCCACATTGCAACAGGAGGGACCTGTGGCCCCTGTCACTGACACTTTCACTGAGGCTGGCCTCGCTATCAGAAGACGAAGCAGTTGGCAAATCTGATAGCTCATCGGAGAACAAATCTAATATTTCTTGTTCTCCGAGAGAATGCATCACCTGCAACTGCTTTCATCTCTGATCCATGTTGCACTGCTAACTTCCTGATTCATACATGGAAGCTTGGACTCGAACAAAGGCTTTTTTCTTTAGGGTGTGACAGGAAATGAGCGTGATCATGTTACTGGCTAAGGTAGCAAACCTTCCCAAGGTCAACTACGCAGTAGTTATGATGCAACTTGGCCACACAGCGAGATATAGTCGGTTGCAACATAACGCGTCAGAAAAGGGCCAATTGGCCCGCCTAGTCCGCAGCGCTATAGAAACATAGAGGGCCAATTGGCCCCTCCGCTCCTGAATGTGTTAATAACCCTTGCAAAAATGTCCCCGAAGAAAAGGCCGCAAAAAGACTGCCATAAGAGAATAAAAATAACCGTAGAAATGAAACATAAAATCATTGAAAAGTGAGAATGAGGTGTGAGCATGGCTGATCTAGTACGCACATACAATCAGTCTACATCAACAACTTGCACTGTCCTCAAGAACAAGGACAAGATTAAGGAAATAGATGCTTCAAAGGGAGTGACAAGAATATTTACGCAATGGTTACATATTCTCGACGATGTTGAAAGGTTGCTCCTCATATGGATAAATGAAAAACAATTGCAAGGTGACACTATTAACGAGAACATCATTTGTGAGAAGGTGAAAGAGATTTTCACCGACCGCGTTAAGAACACGCCAGGATGATCAACGGCCAAAGAAGAAGCATTTAAGGGAAGTCGTGGGTGGATCGAGAAGTTTAAGAGAAGCGTCGTAAGGCGTGGTGAAGCAGCAAGCTCTGACACAAAGGCAGCAGAGAACTTCATCGGCGACTTCAAGAAGCTCGTAGATTCTGAGGGTTACCTGCCGCAACAGGTTTTTAACTTTTAAGTGCGAAAGTGTCCCGTTTGTGCCAGTGGTGAGTAAGGTCGTCATGGCCAAAGTACCCCGTTTTGGCCAGTCAGGCATTTAAACTCTGCTAGTGGAAGCACGCACACACACCGCTAGTAGAAGCGCATGCACAGTCCTAAATATTTATTTTTAAATGTATTAATTACCAGACAGACTTGAGTAAAACCCTAATAGAGGAATTAAAATAATATCTAAATGAACAACAGCAAATAAAAATATACGTATGAGTTATGCCAAAACTTATCCACGATCCAGTAATTTTATTGCAGATTCTGCAGATAGGTATGTTAAAAATATATTGTAAAATTTGATGTACATACTTTTTTTTTTGTTACCTGCTTGATGTATATATAGGCTGAAATTATATCGATTTCACTACAAACGCACACAAACCAGATCGCACTCTGTATCTCAGCCATGATGCAGTTGTCTGTTCATTCAAATAGACGGGGCAATAATCTTTTGCAGCTCTAACGGAAGGTCTTAGCACTGAAGAAGGGACCCCTCTAGCTTTCTCTTGAATAGCCATGCTTTCATTCTTCTGTCCTTCAGTCAAAAGATTCGAAAATCCGAAGAGTGTAAGAAGTGCTAGCAGAAGACCAAATGATTTCATTGCTTAAATCTGTTTTATGACACCAGGGACTGCTAAAATTTGTCAAGTGTTACAAACAGGAATGCGTTTATAATGCAGAACAACTCTGTGAAGAACTGGGAAACCATTTTTGCAGTACGCATCAAAATTAAAACACAAAAAATTGAAAATAGAGTATAACACTTTGTATTAAAAATTTCAAATCTTCCATTATAATATGCGACACTATGTTCTTTGCTGATATAAACAAAGTTAATTCCATCCATTTATCATAAAAATTGAGCTAGATACAGCATTTTTAAACACAACGCTTAAAATTGATTAAGCGCCTAACAGGAACGGATATTTAAACGCAGAGAAGCAACGGGCATTTAAACGAGCACCAGCAGTGGGCATTTAAATAAACTCCAGTCAGCTCAAGCTTACCACTACGAAGTCCAGCATTTAAAGGTTAATTGTGACAAGACGGGTCTCTTCTGGAAAAAGATGCCGAAGTGAACCTATATAACAGCAGAGGATAATGCATTGCCTGGCCATAAGCCAATGAAAGACTGTCTCACGCTGCTATTTTGTGCCAATGCAAGCGATGATTTGAAAATTAAACTGCTGCTTGTTTACCATTCAGAAACTCCACGAGCCTTCAAGAAGTGTAAAAGTCCAGAAGAGCAGGCTAAATGTGATGTGGAGGTCCAACAACAAGGCTTGGGTGACACGTGACCTTTTTACTGATTGGATCAATGAAGTGTTTGGTCCTTCTGTGAAAAAGTATTTGCTTGAGATGAATCTGCCACTCCATGTCTTGCTTGTTATGGACAACGCTCCTGCCCATCCTCCAGACCTACAAGATGACCTCCTTGAAGAATTTAAATTCATCAAGATCCAGTTTCTGCCTCCCAACACCACTCCGTTACTCCAGCCTATGGACCAGCAGGTTATTTCTAACTTTAAGAAGCTGTACACTAAAGCACTCTTTGAGCATTGTTTTGAGGTGACTGAAGGGACCAATCTCACTCTCAAGAGAGTTTTGGAAATATCACTTCCACATCGTTGCCTGCCTCAAGATGATCGAAAAGGTGTGGGAAGGGGTTACCAAGAGGACCCTCACTTCTGCTTGGAAGAAGCTTTGGCCGGAGAGTGTTGGCGAATGTGACTTTGAGGGGTTTGAGATAGTACCTGTGGAGCCTATAGTCAACGAGATTGTGTCTTTGGCCAAGATCATGGGGCTGGAGGTGGATAACAGTGATATCGATGAGCTTGTGGAAGAGCACAGCCAAAAGCTAAACACCGAAGAGCTTATGGAGTTGCATTGTGTTTCACAGCAAGAAGTTGTGGAGGAGAGTTTGTCAGAGGAGGAGGAGGAGGAGGAGGAGGGGGTAACAGCAAAGCAACAATCTTCTGGTGCAATAAGAGAAATGCTGAAAGCATGGGAAACTGTTGCATCGTACATTGAGAAGCATCACCCTAATAAGGCAGTGGCTATGTGCACTGCAAATGTATTTAATGATAAGGCTGTGTCACATTTTCGCCAAATTTTGAAGCTTCGGCAAAAACAAATGTCTCTAGACAGCTTTCTAGTAAAAAGAATTAGATATGTATCATAAATAATAAACTAATTATTTTGAATTTTTTTTTTCTGCAAATCGAATTCACATTCCAGGTTTGTTCATTTTGCATAGAAGAAAAGGTGACTGTGATTCACGCTGTGTATATATAACAGTGTATATATAATTTTCTTTGAATAAACATTATACATAAAATTTCTTGAGTATTTTTTTCGGCATGGAACACATCGTATTTTACGTTAATTTATATGCGAAAAATTGTTTCACTTAACGAGTGTTTTGCATTACG